TACTTTCATATTCTATCTCTGAGTCTCGACACCACAATTTGACTATTGCTCTGCCAGAAATTGCTGCAGCCTCTAAGCCTCTATGAATCGTAGCTTTCCATCCTCTAGTGCCTAAATCTTATATTAATTATCTATGGAAATATAGTGTCACTTTGTAATTCATGATTTGTAATTTGTAGTTTGCTAAACTTTTGTAATTTGTAACTTTTATTCTTTGAATTGAATCTAATATGTTAAACCTTTGTAATTTTTGTTCCTGTCTTCCTCTTTCTTGAATTGTGGTCGTTTTGAATCCGAATTATTGATCTCTTTTTCATTGTTTGCTGTCCATTTTTTATAAGTTACCATGCAATATTATTTAAAAGTCCAAACCGAGAAACCAAACCAAATCAAACCGAACCGAAGTGGTTTGGGTTGGTTTGGTTTGAGAGTTAGAGTGGGTTGGTTTTGGTTTTAATTTTGCTCAAACCGACTACTTTGGTTTGGTTTTGGGTTGAGGTCGAAACCAACCCAAACCAAACCACGCCCAGGCCTATTCCCACATATAGTGGCAGGTAAAGGTCCACTGATATCAGTGTGTATTAAGTCCAAAATTACATTACTCCTAGTCGAACCCTTTCTCGTAGACTTAGTTAACTTTCCTCTTATACAATCCACACAGGTGTCAAAATCAGAAAAGTCTAAGAAGGGAAGTATCTCAACTTTTACTAATCTTCCCATTCTATCCTTAGAAATATGACACAAACGCTTATGCCACAACATAAAGGATGATTCCCGAATTAAAGCCCTTTTTCTTTGATACATTGGTAACACAGGAGACATCACCAAGAGCAGCCAAAGACAATTTATATAAACCATCACATAAATTGACATTTCCAATCAAACGAGAATCATTAAATAAATCAACCATTCTATTACCAAAATTAAATGTAAAACCACAAGCATCAAGTTTCGATATAGTAATTAAATTTCGTCTCATTTGCGGTACATAAACTGTATTTTTCAAAACAAGATAAAAACCAGACTCTAAAGTCAACTTCACTACTCCTATAAACTCAACATTCACTTAAACTCCATTTGTAACGCTCAAGCTTACTTCATTCTCACTTGGCCTCAGTTTGCTTGTAAATCCCTGCAAGGAATTCGCAATATAAATACTAGCTTCTTAATCTAACCATCAAGAATTCAAAGACACGTCTACTAAAGAAGACTCAAAACAAACTATGGCCAAGGGAATACTTGGAGAACTCTTCTTCTTTTCCAACCAAGTTTTGAACTTAAAACAGTCTTTCTGCCAGTGACCCTTCTTTTTACAGAACTTGCATTGATCATTTTTCTTTTTAATTCCTTTGAGACCACTAAAATTTTTATTCTGCTGACTTCGGTCGGACTTATTACCCTTAGGAAACTTAGGTTTATGGTTATGAGAAGGCCCCTTGTTCTGTGATGGCTGAAAAGCTAATTGTACATTTTCAACAGTTTAACGACACATCCTATACTCTTCTTGGGCACACATTGTTATGAGGTCATTCAAATTCCATTTATCCTGTTGAGCATTGTAAGCAACCTTAAGCTGATTAAACTTGCTAGGAAGGCTATTCAAAACATAATAGACTAGGAAAGGTTCCGCAATGGGAATGTCAAGAGCCTTTAGCTTAGATGATATATTTATCATTTTCATGACATGCTCCCTAATACCACTTGTACCATCGTATTTCATGCTCATCAATTTATCCATCAAATCCCCAGTTTCAGATTTATCAAACTCAATAAATTTTTCTTATATGGCATCCATAAATTTTTTGGCATTTTGATTATCGGGGATGACACCTAGAATAAAATCGAATATCAATCACTTAATGATTTTCAAACAAAGTTTGTTAGCCATTTCCCACTTTTCATATTGTTAGCCATTTCCCACTTTTCATACTCGGCTATATATTCAACGGTACTCTTATCTGTGGGTTTCTCAAGCTTTTACTCCATTGCAAAATTCAAGCCCAAAAGACCAAGTGTTATTTCTACGTCTCGTTTTCATCTCACATAGTTATTCCCAATCAAGGTTTCAATAGCAGAAAATTGATTCGAAAGAGATGAGAAATTATAAACTGTGGAAACATAAAATATCACTCTTAATATCATCCAAACGTAATGCATGCAATCAAATGGATGATGTAATATCCAACTAATTAATATGGGCTATTAATTAGATAATTCGTAATTTAAATCAAAACCATATGAATTTTATTACAGTAAGAACCTAAATGCATCATTATAAAGTCACATTTGAGCCTACAATATAATATGTTATAAGGTACTCTTAAACACATCATATAACTAGTTAACAAAATCACATTGGTTTTCGAAATACCAACACCTTTGGGCAGAAGCAAATTTCTAAACCAAGGTAAACTTGTTAACTGCCTTATGTCATTTTCCAAAACATCACATATAATAACACTTTTGGGCAAGATATTATATGCAATAAATTAAAATTGTTGCGCAAAAATATGCACATATTTTTATTGTAGAGAAAACCGAATAAATAATAATGAGTGTGCCACTTTGACAACTACCACCCATTTTTATTTCAAAATATTTATCTCTCAATGGGAAAATAAGAATCGTCTTAAAGCCTATGGAAAATTCAATCACAGAATAATACTTATGCAATAAATCATAATTTTTAATCGTTGAAAGGTAAAAATTCATATGTGATTGAGAGACGAAACTGGCAACAAAATTTCAAAAATAAGATTTAAACGGATAAATAATAGCAATATTTAAATACATAAACATTTTAATGGAAAAATATAAAAGAAGTCAATTTATTTATTTTAATCAGGTCAATTAGCAAATAAAATTTCAATTGGGTCAAAATCAAAATTTTAGGGTCAAACCGTTTTAAAAGTTCAAATTTAATACCTTTGGAAATTACATTTTTGACCCTGAATTGAAATTAAAAATAGGCCCTTCAATATTTAGAAATTGTATGGCAGGTCCTTATTTTAAGTAATTGCAATATGACCCCAATTGTTAATTGCAAACAGGGGCTTGTAATTCTCTTATTTACAATTGACCCCCCCCAATTGTTAATTGCAAACAGGGGCTTGTAATTCTCTTATTTACAATTGAAACCCCCGCCTCCACTACAATCGTTTTTCAGAAAACCCTAAGAAAGAAACCCTCTCTTTTCGTCTTGGCTGCTGGCATCGGGAGGTGACGATGAAAAATGGCAATCTGTAAAGTGTTAACTCTGGAAGAATGGATTTTATTTTCACAGGTGAAGAATCCATCCTGCAAAAGGCGTGGAAAACTTATCTAGGAGTTTGTAAATTCACTTATCAAACCTCAAATAAAAATAAGGGTATAAATTTCAATTGCCTCCACAGGCATAAGCAGGTTGAATTTAAAGTTTAAGCAACCTACTGCGTGAAAAACCAAAGAAAAAACATAGGTTCTTTGTGAGTGCTTCAAAACACGCCTGTGTAGCTGGAATTCACTTTTCAATTGATTGTTTTTAGGAGAAATGGTTTACTTTCATCATAAGAAACTGTTCTTGATAGACCTTGTATTACAGATTTAATTTCAAGACAATCGCGGATTTTGCTTGTAAAAATTGAAAGCTGGTAAGGACAACAATTTGTTGCTGTTGTCATGTTTCGGCTCTAAAATCAAACCAAAAAGAAAAATAGGGAAAAAAAAAAAACTATGGAGGATTCTTATCTTAGCACGTATGCTCTGATAACAATTGTTTAAATTTAATTGTAATCATGCTAAGAACAAGAATCATAGAATAATAAATTGATAAATCGAATTCATACTCGCGGAGGCTATCGTTGATATGAATAATAGTTATAATAACGGTCAAGATCTTCTCCTCCTTGCTCCTTACAAAGTATTAGTTATCAATAAGACAAGCTAAAATAAAATAATAATGGAGAGGAGAGGGGACCTAGGCTTTATATAAAAAATAATTGAGTCATTCCATTACGACTAGAATTCTGATTAGGGTTTATTTTCGACCCACATACTTAAAATTACTACATCATATTACTTACAACCCGTAAGGTGTAAAAGGCCCAATTGATCACTTAATAAATTTGGCTCAAATACAAATATCATTATGAACCATACATCTAACCCGTAAAATTTGCAATCAAATGTGAAGCCCACAAATGAAATTATTCCAACAGTGCGCTGCTGACCCACATCATGGTTGCTACTTAACTGCTTCAGCCATGTTCCGCGGTAAGATGAGCACCAAAGAGGTCGATGAACAGATGATTAACATCCAGAACAAGAATTCATCCTACTTTGTCGAGTGGATTCCGAACAATGTAAAGTCTAGTGCGTGTGATATCCCACCAAAGGGTCTAAAAATGGCATCTACATTCATTGGAAACTCGACCTCAATTCAGGAGATGTTCAGGCGTGTTAGTGAGCAATCCACTGCGATGTTCAGGCATAAAGCTTTCTTACACTGGTACACCGGTGAGGGAATGGACGAAATGGAATTCACCGAGGCAGAGAGTAACATGAATGATCTTGTGGCCGAGTACCAACAATACCAGGACGCTACTGCTGACAATGAAGAATACGTGGAAGATGAAGAAGAAGAGGATGTTGCATCTTAAGTTGTCTTGAATAGCTTCCGTCAGTTATCCAAACCTCTTGGTCAGTGGGTGATTGGTGTATTTGTCATCAACGGTTAATATGTACGATACGATTTGGGGTTCATTGTATTTGAGATTGGCTTGTAAAACTGTATTTTGTCATTCGTGTCAATGATGATATGTAGATGTTAGTGTTGGATTTTTATTTTTGTCAAATTCTAATGAGTTGTACTTTGCTACTTTGAATAGAGCATGTTTGGCTGTGCTTAAAAACACTTTTTGGTTATTTTTTCGGGTGGTTAGTTGATGCATTCTGCCATAATAAGCAGCTAAAAACTTATAAAGAAAGGAGCTACAAAATTATAAGCGTCACAAGTGTAGACATCCACAAAATATCGAGACGAATTTCGACTAACTAATGCATAAAAAGGAGAGGGACAATGAGTAGGCATAATTAGCTTCAAATGGGCTAAATATGTTCAATGGCTGTAGCAAAATGGTTTTCAGTTTTGACAGGTAAATCAAAGACAAATTCCAAAGCGTCACAACTGTAAAATCTCCAGATTTCAACACCAATCTACCATCAAATTGCAATTCCAAATAAATTACTGCTCATCCTTGCCAGAGTAGTAATGCCGGAAAACACAAGAGAAGTCCTTTGTTCCATAACCCGCATCATTGAGCTCTGTGAATCTGAACAGAAGTTCAGTTCATTTCAATGAACTTGAGGAATTAATGTGGTTGTGATAATAAATAACCATCTCAAGTTTGATTATATAACCTCATGTATTTAAGCATAATGTTTTCCGAAGTAAATATAAATGGACAAGGACTTACATCTCTTCTGCTACTGATGTTAAAGGAAATTTGAGACCGACTTCTTTGGCTGATGCTGCCGCAAGGTTTAGATCTTTAGCCTAAATACAAAGAGGAGAACACATGTTAATGATGATAAGACTGTAACTAAGCACTAGTTGTTTAAACGAATTACGCTAAAACAGATAGAAAAGTTGTTTAAACCTAGATAATTAATTTGTGAGACGAGAGTAAGAGACGGTGAGAGAACCAAATTTAACATAGCAATTACTTTTTAGAGCATCGGAAATTAATCTACAAAAATTTAAAATCCTTGACCTCAATATCCCAACAGATTAAGCTCCTCTTTATATACAATGGAGGGAAAAGATTAATTTGGATGAACCTTGAACCATGCTAAGGTAATGAATGATGAAGATGGAGTAAGCTGTGACTCAATGGACCTATAATCACTTGAAATTAGAAAATGTCAAATATTTTCTTAGCTACGTTGCATTGATGTAGCTTACGAGTGGATAGAAGAACCACGTACCATTAGCTTGGAAGCAAACCCCCCATCATAATTCCTTGAAGCTGGCACTCCATCCATCACTCCAGGCACTGGATTATAAGAATCGCTGTCAATTAACAAACGTTATATTGAAGTTAGTACTGGTAAACCTTGCAGACCTTGCAGAATACCCGTCAAATTTCTGCTGAAACAGTTCATGCGCCAACCAGAACATTTTAGTTCACATTACTTTGTGTGTGGCAGATCTGACAGTAAAATTTGTTGGGATAAAGAAAATGCAATGCCAAACAAAGATGTAGATAACAATCTGTATGATATTTAAGTACAAAACAAATGAATTTTTTCTAGCCCTTGAGAAGAGGTTTGTCATATTCAAGCAGCAAATGCTAATTGGAGATATCGAAACATCTCCTATTTTTCCTTGCCAGAGGTGTCAATTCATGTATATTCGACAGTAGCCAGTCAATTTATTCAAATCACTTATGTACGTTGTAATCAACCATTGACATCATTTTCAGTTCCAGAACTTTGGAGGCTTTCAAAATGGCTACAGCGTAAGTACAAAATCAAAGTAGCATCATTTACTAGATAATATGAATCATAATAAATGTCTGGGTGGATTTTAGAACAAAGCAAGCATCATTTAAACATTAAGCCCAGTAAGATACTAAATCACGAGGTACCTACTCCAACAGCGAGCACTTGAAGAGTTAAATATCTTTGTTAAAGTACTTGCAGCAATTCCCAAAGACTGACCAAGTGCATAGGCTTCCGACACCCCAAGCATACTGACAGCCATCGCTAAATTGTTGCAAATCTTTGCTGTCTAAATTCAAAAAAAAAAACACACACACACACACCAAAAAAAACAAAAAAGACAATTTAAGAATTACTAGCCAACAGTATCTAGCAACTAAGTCTTAAAAATTGATTCCACATAACGGCAGAAGAAGTTTTGTTTTCTGCTAGAAAAATATATTAAATGCTCTGAAGTGGATTTAAAGGTAGTAAAGGTGGCCGAAATATATGGTGGAAGTAAATCACTTATAAATTATGTGCCTATTTATCAGTTGTGAAAAGCTAATGCCTTTGCTCTTAGTAAGTAAGACTAGGTAACAGCGACATATAAGATAAAGACGTTACGGATAGGTGACTAAAGGTATTTACTTATGTTTTATCAAGACTTACGTTTCCACCTACCTGTGTTAGCTATGTCATGTTACTTCCATGGTTGCAATGTTCTTGAATTCAGATATCCAGTGCATCGCAGCTTATCAAACTAATGAGGATTTTGATAGCTAAAGGACAACTGTGGGGTGCTACTTCTCATTATTTATGTAGAATGAAGTTTCAGGGCTATATCAGAATTGTGCAGTAAAACCCACAAGAATACATGTCTATAACTAGCAAGAACATACCGAACCAGTTCCTGCTCCTCCACAATAAATGGTGTTTTTGCCCATTGAGAGGAACAAAGGTTTTGCAGCTGCATAAGCTTTCTCCAAGCCACCAACCTGAATAACATACAATATATTGTTTTAATTCAAAGCCCCAAAAAATCAAACCTTTGCAGCTAGAAACTACTTTCATCTTGTACTTATGCCTTTATATGAACTAATCAGTGGTGAATTATCAATCAGGACCTCTGTAGCATCCTAATCACATGATATTTTGAAGGCACAAACCCACAGCAATTGCTGCACTGAAAACTTTAAGATGTCCGAAAAACATCCAAAGAGAAAAGTTATAAACAAAAAGTAAGAGAAACTTTACACTTAAAAGCCCTAATAAAACTTCACTCGTTTTAAAGCACAAGACGGTAATAGTAAGTCAATATATATGCAGCAAACTAGGAAATGCATAGCTCTTCACCTCCATGTACTGCAATAGCATCAATGTAGTTCCAATACTGGAATCACAATTACATCACAAGCACTTCAAATGCACTACAATCATACCATGAAAGTAAGCGATCCAGTCTCTGCAGCAAGAACACCTCCAGATACAGGAGCATCCAACATGGAAGGAGTCTCCCAGTCATCTATAGAAAATGTAACCAGCTCATTGATAACTATCTTGAAGTTGTCCAACATACAACACGGCAGTAACTAGTTCACATTTTTTATTACCTTTATGTTACATAAGCATTGCCTAACTACTATAAAACATGGTCCATAAATTATACTGACCAGAGTAGAAAAAAGTAACTTTATAGAAAGCAAATATGGGCACATAAGCTTACGGATGTGCGGAACATTGGCTGCCTTCATACCAATATATTTTATCTGAGATCGATGAGTTGTCTCAATACATTTGAAAGAATTTTGCAATACAAGGAAGATGATTGGGTGGGATAATGTGATATAAAGGTTAAAATTTATTTGCATTTTCAAGTAGTTGAACAATAATATGCAACGCTAATATTAACAGCCATCATTGTTGGTTGTCAAATAAGTTGTCTCATGAACTAATGATGCAGAGATGATCGACCGGTTCAAAGATGCTTCCACATAAGCAGTCTGCAGGAATTATAAGGCCAGGGAACCACAAAATGAATTGAGTGACCATTTTGTTACCTGAACAACTTTGTTTATTACAAAATTAGCAAAACAATATCCCTAGAGACAATGAGAACCCAGAGAGCCGCTCTAAAGGCATCATCATTTAAAACCAGATAGATAATCCTACAATTCAAAAATGTTAACCCATTGCATAAAGAAGCCAAATTAGAAACAATTAGTGATGAAATGGCCAGTGGAAACAAAGTGAAGTAGCCGCAATCAAAACATGATACTTCTTATTTTCCTTGACATCACACCTTCTTTTCCCTTTAACATACAATCAGAAATGGCCACGGAAATCTTTCTTGATGTTTGAGGGTCAATGGTAGAGGAATCAATAAACAACCATGGTCTAAGTCCATCTCCACCATGAAGCAAACCATTCGGTCCAGTGTAAACATCAAGTACCTACATTTAATTCATAATGGAATAAGCAAGAAAAATGTTGAATAGCTGGAAAACTATTTAAAAATCTAGTTCTTCATCCCTCCAAAAAGAATTTAAGTCAACTCATATAGGAATAGGATTTTTAATCAATCACAGAGTTTTATTGATGCCTTCTCTTTATCTCATGAACAGAACTTCTCTTTATTACTTCTCAAAAGCGAGGTCTATAAAATCAGAAAAATAATTCCCATAATAAGTTTGGTACAATTTTATGAATTAAAGTTGATGACAAATATTGTGATAACTAGAACAAATGTATCTAAAACTCACATGGGATGATGACGGCAACATTGTTATTACAACATCACTTGCTTTGGCAACTTCAACAGGTGACTCTTTCGTGAGAATTCCTTTCTCAGAGAACATCGTCATGACATCATGGTTGCTGTAAAAAGACCCAGCAGATTGTGTCACTCTACTATTATATTCTTCAGATAAACCATCATAATATGTTGCAACAATTTGATAAGCACATCTGTGGTATATGAATTCCTTGATGAATTTAATTAATTCTTGAGAAAAGATACAATTCATCCTCACTCATTCAGTCTATTTTATGCTCCCCCTTTGAAAATTCTATTTCCTTTAATTCACAGAAAATATTATAAATAAATTTTTAATATAATTTTACAAATAATCCATTAAAACAGTTCACTATAAAGTATTAACTATTTAGACTTGGGGTTCCACCTTAAAAGGTCAACCTTGTTATTATGATTAGTAGCCCATTCGTCTATATTCAGTGATTTGCGGACGTGGGATTTATCGCTCTAACATTAAGAAAACCAACTCAAAGGAAATGAAAATTGTTTGCAGAAATTACATATCATGGACAGCGATATTGTATCCCGCCTTGATCAAGTTATTACACATCCGTGATCCCATGTTTCCCAGTCCAATGAATCCAATCCTCTGTAATAGTCAACACGTCAAAAAATATTAACAAAAATTTCACTATGAATTGGTATGAGTACAAAACCACCCACATAATTTACCCAAAACCCAACCCAAAATTAACAGCGTGTACAAAACCTTCACAATAGAACCAAAATACAAGAAACAGAGTAGTAGTTCAATCAGAGCTCAATTGAAAGTCTCATTGGTAACCCCCAAAGTTCCAAGAAAATCAGCTATTAAAGCCATTTTAAAACAAAAAAACTTACTTCGAACTGAGATGGGAAATTGGATGAAGACAACCTGCGAGTCCAAGAAAAGTTGGAGAGAAAAGAATAAGTGATTTTGGAATTATTCTTGTACAGTGACAGCAGGGCGCTTAGTCTTTGGCCGTAAGACGCCATCGTCGTTAAAGTTGAGCTTTTTTGCCAGTATTTTGCTTATGCCACAGCTTCGTTGATTCCAATGTTCCTTTCTTTCTAACCTTGAGAACATGAAAGTAACCATTTGTTTATAGTTTTAACTTATATTTAACTATATCAGTTCAGCTATGTGCACTGGAAAGTGCTGTCAGGATTTCTAGATAACACCCTAGACAGTTTTCTATTGAACGACGACAAAAAATAAAATAAAATAAAATAAATAAAAAGAAAAAATGTGACCAAACAGATGATGTGAAAAATTCTGGCAGCAATTCCCCTTGAAAAATTGCGGTTAGAGTGATGCTATGCTTACAAAGTAGGTTTATAAAAAAAGTTGAAAAAATATTTGTTGACAAAATTAAGATCATTCAATTTAAAAACAGTTTTTGAAAGCAACAAAATTCATTGACTTTGATCTTGCCAACACACCTTTGTCAACCATTTTTGTCAAACTACTTTGTACAAGTAGTTTAATTGTTGCGGTTAACTACACAGTCGGTAAAGTTACAGATATTCCTGATTTGTTAAATACAACTTACATAGAAGGATGCTATGCGTGGGTTTTGGTCAAGGGGCTGCCAACCCCCCATTGTTATAGTAAAATTCTAAATAAAAATTTGTATATTATTCGCGAAATTATTTTCTTTCGATTTAAAACCACCGCAAGTGTACGGTTCGTTAACAAGTAATAAAGTAAATTAAATGAGTCCGAATATCGTCCCACAGAGATTAATTAGTTCAAATTTTACCTACCATAGCCTTAACCGAAACTGGATTACCAAAGTGAATGTAAACCTAATTAAACCTCAATTATGCAATTTTTTTTATTAAATTGAAATTAATATGCAAAAAAATAATTTAAAACTCCAAAATGAAATCAATTGTTGAGAACGCACATTTGTTGTAATCAATAGAAATTAAACACACTAGGATCATGATTTTCCATGCAATTATCACTTTGAACTCTAGTTTCACAATATGACAACATAATTCAATTGTTGACGAATCAATGTTTCTAAATCTATCCAATACTCTCTCTCGAGATGTATTAAACCTATTTCTACATACCACCGGCCTATATTTTTATGACAAGTGCATATGTAAAAATGCATGTAGTTTTATGAACACTTAAAGATTCACGTAGGGCATAGCGGTATATTTCTATCCCCTATCGGACCCTACGATGATTTATATTATGTCGAATATATTCCAATTCTCTCGAATGCAAGAATAAATCACCCAAACTCACACAATTACGGGCCCTTAATTGCGGAAACAATAAATGCATATAAATCATTAAAAACAAAAGAAATATGTTTTAATGTCAAATTGCAAAACTAGAAAATTAAAGATCCAACTACATGGTGCATCGATCTCCTAGCATATAAAAATCTAGCCTAACATAATTAAAATAACAAAATACATCATGTTTTGAATAAAAGACATCACCGGGTTATGAAATATTGAATAAATCTTGAAGTTCTTCGTGCCAATCTTTGTTCTTGCGCTCAAATCCTCTCCAAGAAGTGTTTTTCGGCCTCCAATTGCGTTCTGGTCGTCTCTGAAATGTTTTTGATATTTATATCCCGTCAATATTAGATTACCAAAGGAGTTTTAATCGTATAAAGAAAGAAAATTTCATATCGGACAAATAGCCATGCGACCGCATGGTTTTAATCCGTGCAGCCGCATGGTTATTCCATATTTCCAATTGAATTCCCTGCATCCCTTCGTGCAGCCGCACGAGAGTTCTACCCTCTTCACTCTTTCCATTCTATCATTCCAAGGCATCATCAATTGGCATTTGGTTCAGCCAATTCCTTGATTTGTTCATCAGGTCAACTTTTGGATAATTGCACCTTGGTCCTTGAACTTTCACTTTGTGTCATTTTAGTCCTTTTTCCTGTCTTTTCTCATTTATTTCACCATGTTCATCTGTGTTACCTACAATTCACAAATGTAACGAAATTAAATCACAATTCAATCATTTTATTCATAATTAAGTCGTGTTTGTGACCTAAATAAGTGTGCAAAAACACACTTATCATATATGAAAGTTTTGGTCAATGAAATTTATATTTATCGATAAAAAAAAGTCCTAAATAAAAATTGGCTGAAGAAAGCCATTTATCAGCTTAATATAATTTAAATTACTATATATATTTTATAATGTATTTCTAGATGATACTTTCATTGGTTAGTTCTTGGTACAATATGAGCTTCTGCGCGAATTGAGCAACGATTTGATAGCTGGACAAGTTAGTTTGCTTATTGTTTGTGGGCGATTTAACTAATTAAAAACTCGTCAAATTGAGAGAAATATATAATTATATATAAAGTCACGCTTTTATTGAACGGAGTCAAATCAATAGGAGGCAAATCGAGCGATTTGGCGCGTTTTATTTAACTCCTCTACACTGATCCCAACATATTGAAGCAACTTCAAATTTTGTCCAGGAGCATGGCCCTCGACCTATCAATTTTAATGCAACAAAGTCCTTAAAAACAAATTTAGATATTGAAAAGTAATTTTTCACAAATTTAGATGTTGAAAAGTAATTTTTTCAATCGAAAAATTACTAGTCTTAACAGAACTCATTAACAAGAAGAAAAGCTTGTATGCATGAATACATCCTTACTTTACAGCAATAGTCAGAAGAAAGCAAAAAAGTTATCGAGTCACACTGCGTCTCGAATTTAACTAATAAAAGGGAAGTCAATGAGCTATTTGATTCCCAACTGAATCTTTGTTCACTAAAGCAAAATCGGCAAACTAAATCGACGATAGATCCTCATATATAGTCTTGATGCCTGGCCTCTCGGATACCGATCGGATGCATCGTAGAGCTATTCCAAGTACCTCCTTCATTCCCTTCTCAGATGCCGGAATTCCTATCTCGGGTGACAGTGTAGCATCAAAACAATCCGATCCACGACCATCTGCCACTCTTAACCGAACCCAATCTGTCAAATCGACTCCACCATCTTCACCAGAGACCACATCACCCGCACACTTCCCAGTAAGAAGTTCCAGCAGAATAACTCCAAAAGCATAAACATCTGATTTGAAAGAGGGGAGGGGCTTCTTTGATGCAGCTAACTCTGGTGCACGATAACCCAACACCCCAGCATCAAGAATCTGTTCAACGGTGCCTGATTGCGTCATGAGGCGGTGAAGGCAGTAATCAGCAACACGTGCATTAAGATCAGGGCCATCTAGTAGTACATTGCTTGCTTTAAGGTTTCCATGTGGGACCGCAGGGTCAAAATGGAGATAGTTCAACCCACGAGCAATGTCAACGGCTATTTTGAGCCTTTGGGGCCAGGTTAACGGTGGACCCTTTCTTCCTGGCCGATCTGCAAATATTAGTTGTTAGAAGAGCATATGAAAAGTAACCTTAATACGTCACGTAAAAATGTACAATCCGCGTATGCAAAGACAAAAATTAATTATCTTCTTCAAACATAAATCAGTGGATATTCAATATTCATCAAAAGCAACCAGAAGAGCAAAATCAAACTTGACAAAGAAGATTCCCACATACCATGGTTAACTAAGAATTAATTAAAAGCATTGGGAGGGAGAGCTGACACTGATTCTTAATGCTATACCTAAGAGTATCCAATGGTGGTTGTCAAAAGCAGAATCACCAAATCATGTAGAAGTATACTAATATCAATTTCTCTGAAAATTACCCCCCAAACACATAAAAACATTATACCTATTGTCACAGTTTTATACATTACAGTATTGAAAGTTGGATTATGCATAGAAGAAATAGTATAGAAGCATTACCCTAATATGTAAACGAATTCCAACGAGTCTAAACTGAATCAGTTTAACAGTTGATGATCCCATCATACGAGAGTATTAGTAAACAACCTCTATTCTCCCATAGCCTTTACACAGCCATATCTGAGTCTTCAACAGTATAAATGGGTATTCAATTCAATAAAAGGGCAAAGCTTCAGCAGCTTGTGGAAATAATCTAAATCAGCTTGAATTCAGATGCAACAAAAAGACATGAAGTGCCAAGAAACCCACAAATCATTGAAAGCAGCATATCATTTTCTCATAAAGCAAGCAGGTGGAGAAAAATAAAAATAGAAAAAGAAATAAACAAAAGAATGAACAAATCAGAAAAACATAAAACAGGCATAACATATTGGAAGTCAAAGCATATCTTTTATGATGTAATATCTTTTAGCAGCAAATACTTGGCAGGCCAGAAGATGCAGTGTAGTGATTTACCATACAGAAAACTTGCAAGACTTCCAGGAGATATGTACTCTGAAAGAATGAGCTTCTCGTGCTGTGTAGGTCCCCAGTAGTACCCTCTCAGTCCAACCACATTTGGATGCCTTATATTTGCAAATTTTTTGGCCTCTTTAGCAAATTCCTTTCTTGGTTTTGCAACCCCTTCCCTCAACCACTTTACAGTCAAGAACAAACCATTGTCTAGTGTTGCCCGGTAAGATGTCCCATGGCTGCTCCTTCCCAGAACTTCAGCTGGTGCTCTTGACAATTCCTCAGCTGTAAATGAGATTGTATCATCAAGAAAGTACAACTCACCAGCCAGTCGATCTGGAGATCTGACATCCAGTCTTGAAAGGTTATCAGCAGCATATGAATCTCCCGACTCCGGTGACCAAGAGAAAAGGCTGGTCTTCGATGGTGAGAAACCTGTTATTCCAGCCATTTTCTCATCAGGACTAATAATCTCTGATGATGACCCCTTTCGCCCAGTTACAAGATCCTCAGCTGAAACAACCAAACTGCCTCCACTGTCTCTTCCAGCAAAGCTAGGTTTTGTTGATGTTTGACGCTGGACATCTTTGTTAGTAACATGTGGTGATGGCCTTTTAGATGTGCGTTTACAGAGAATGAAAATAGAAAGAAGGATTAGAATGACTACAGTAATCACACAAGCAACTATTATCACCACTGTGATAATAGTTTTCTTATGTTTCCCATGGTGATTTCCAGATGGACCTTGGTTTGAGCCTGAGGGAGGATTTGGAAACTGCAGTTCAGAATTGCCAGGGTAAAATGAAGATGGTGGAAACTTTCTCAAATTTTCTGGAACCACCCCAGAAAGATCATTATATGATGCATTGAAGCTTTGGAGACTGTTAGGCAAGTTCTTTGGCAGGGGACCGGTAAAATGATTCTGGGAAATGTCTAATGAAGTTAGGGTGCTGTTCTCACCCAAGAAAGTAGGCAGAGAGCCTGAGAAATTATTTCCTCGAACGTTGAGCGTTTGAAGTCCAGTCAATGAACCAAACGCATCAGGAAAATAGCCACTCAGCTGATTATGAGAGAGATCAAGGGCACGAAGATTTGATTCATCCATGCGAGGTGAGAAATTAATATTTCCAGTAAGTCTATTATTCTGTAGGTGAAGCTCTTGAAGTGTGGATGATGTCAAAAGGGCAGTTAGAAGAGGTCCCTTCAATCGATTGAAACTGACATCAAGGACCGTAAGTTTCGGAAACAGAGTGACAACTTTTGGAAGGGAACCATTCAGGGAATTATGAGATAGATTGAGATAGTTTAAACGCAGAAATTGAGCAGTTATCTCAGGAATGTAGCCTGATAAGCGGTTTTGGCTGAGATCAAGAATTTCAATGTTACCCCATTTCAGCATTCTGGTTAAATCTCCCTCAAATTGATTTTTTGAAAGATCAATAACAATACAACTTCCTGTCAATATTGGAAGTACACCAAAAAGTACATTTGAGGAAAGATTAAGAACTTGCAATGTTGTTGATGTTATTATACTTATAGGCCCTGCAAAGTAAAGCATATCGTATGAAAGACAGAAACTAATATCATGCATACACATCTTCTGCATACAAGAAATAAAAGAAATTTCCCCACATGATAAAACGCAAAATCTTCACAACCATGAAAAGAACAATAATTTATTGTTAGATGGTTAAAGCTTAATGAAGAGCCAGATTTCAAGATAAATTTACCTGTGAGATTGTTGCCGCTCAAATCCAACTCGGTTAAAACCAGAGAGTCTCCTTTCAAAAGATTATTAGGAACGAACCCTGAAAATTTGTTGTTACTTAGTTTGAGGACCTGAAGATCATAAACAAAATTGAATCCAGGTAATTCGCCAGATAGCTGATTGTAGCTCAAGTCCAGAACCTTCAGGTACCCAAAAGCCCCAACTTCGCCATCACTACTAACAAGTGATCCCGTTAGCTGATTGTGGCTAAGATTTAAATGATTGACGGTGGCAGAAACAAAGAGTAAAATGTTCTGTTGTTCTTTAGCAGAGCTCATGAGCAAATTTCCACTGAGATCAACATGAATTGCAGTAGTGAGCTGCAAAAATTCTGGATCCAAATTCCCATCGAGCATGTTGCCATGCAAGTCAAGCACCTCAAGATGTGTCATCATCTCAAACCCTTTTGGAATTCTTTTTGTAAACCCATTAACGGATAGATTAAGATATACCAGACTCGTCAATCTCGTCAAAGATGATGGCAGTGGCCCAGAAAGTGAATTGCGGCTCATGTCCAAAGAGTGAATCGAGGCAAGCCTCGAAATTGTTTCTGGGATCGAGCCAGAGAAGTTGTTCCCAGCTAATGAAAGATTTTTTAAGCTCCTCAAGTTGCCAATTTCAGGTGGCAAGGATGAGAAGAACATATTGTCAGAAATGTCCAGATATTCTAGACTTTTGAAGTCACCAATCTTGTTTGACAATGTCCCAGTTATGGAGTTGTTCGAAATTGAGAGTTTCACTAGCATTGTAAGATTAGAGAACACACTCAAGTCTACATCCGCAGATAAACCCAAGTTGTCAAGAACAACAGCTGCCACGTTACCGCTAGTACACATAATTCCATTCCAAGATGCAGGACAGCCATTGAAGTCAATGGATTCCTCGTTCCATGAATCGACCACAAAACCTGTTGGGTCATGCTTAATTCCTTTCTTGAACTCAAGCAAGGCCAAAATATCGTGGGAAGGGAGCTGCCCGAGGGCGGAAATGAAAGAAAGGGCAACCATGACAAGCCTAAATAACCTCATATTATCCCCAAGCAATGGCTTCATGTATTGAAGGTATAACCTCAAAGCCAAGAACCAAATATATATTTATCCTTCTGATATAGAAATTGTAGCACTATGATAGTATATCAAATTACACAGCATAAATTGGCAAAAAAATGCAACCCAACTTGGCTAATATCCAAAAATCCAAACTGCAAAGATACCAAAATGATATCAAACCTCGTACAAAGCAAACAACTCAAAGAATAGCTCCTTAATGATAAAAAAGCGAAAACCCCGTTAAACAGCAGAACAACACTCGAGAAAAACAAGGGTAATCCAGAACTCCAGTTGCAGGCTCTACCAAAAGAATTACAATGTACACCCTAATCCTCACTAGAAAGAGTTTATAGCTGCTCAGACTCGGCCAAAGAAATCAACCACTTAAACAACAGCTTAAAATGGGTCATTTTCAGAGATCTGACCATAGGAAAGGTCAGCATTTTCTTACTACCATTTGACAAGAAAATAGACTAGTAAAAACCGTCCCTTTCGAAGATTCAGACGACGCAGCTCTCTTGCAAGGATGAATCTTTAAATATTCTGTAGACACTTCAATGCACAAAATCTCTGCATAGAAAATGGACTAAAGATGAAGAAAATGTATGACGCAAAAGGGGCTGGCCTTTCTAAACTTCAATAGCAAATAAATTAGATGCGAGAATATCATAAAATTCTGGCAATTAAAGCACCAAAGCCCTATTATTTCCTCAATATATGAAAGAGGCTTAAAACCGAATAAAGATAATACCTTTGTCTCTTTATGACGCTATCACTTTCTCTCCGGTCTTGCCCAAAAAGACATGCGGGAGACCCTTATTATGTTTTGATACATTCTTTTGGCCATTTTAGATTTAGCCTTTGTTTGAATCCATTTTGGAGGAAAACATGTATTTGGAATAGTAGATTGATAAAAAATGTGTAGTTAAAAATTAATGAAAAATTTTGAGTTTGCATGTATTATTATTTTATTGTAAAATGTGTGGTCGAAAATAAATTTTGAAAAAATGAATTTCTGGAAAGATTGACTTTAAAGTAAATAAAACTTTTGTTAATTATTTTAGATTATTGTTTCTTAAATGTAATTTTTCTACGAAAAAAGCTGCTGCAAAAGACAGTGAAAACCAAATAGCGGGAAATACAGTGTTATTTATCAGTAAATGACGAGCTTTACCCGCTAAAAAGCAGGAGAATCTTGTCCTTGTGGACGTCAAATGGATTCATTAAATCGAGTTTAAGATTGTCTGGGGTCCTCTGTTGGAACTGATGAATGTTAATAGTTAAAAAATGACGTGCAATAGGCCAACAGCATGGTGAGGGACTGTAATTACTGGGTCCCACTCCTGTCCTTTGACTAGGGTCTTATAGGGAAAATAGCAGTAGTGGTTCCCAACCTATGAATCTAGTGCCAAGTTAGTCCTCAATCTTTAAGAAATAGTGATTTAGTTCTTAAATTGTAAACATAGTTGCTCTATCGACCTTAAATATTTGAAATCAATTGAATCTCTGTCAAATCGTCTAGTAATCTTTGTATTCAAATTTATAAAATCAGTATCATTCTCTAAATACTTAATTTTCTCTCAAATATATTTTCAACAAGTTCCCTTAATAAAATAATTTTACACATAAATTTAAAATCACTATTACAAAATCTATTTTTCTAAAAAAGGGACTCAAACAAACCCTTAACTTGCATTGGCGTCAAAAATTTGGAACGAAGTTGATTTCATATTAAATAAGTATTTTGACATTTTTCCGTGTTTTTTGTCCATGTATGAATGTGTATCTTGTTTAGCTCTCATTTAAATTAAAAAATAAAATAAAATAAAATTCTCTAAATTTATTTTCAATCACATATTTTTTTAATATTTTTTAAAATTTATTTTCTTTTAAATTTATTTTCAACCACATATTTTTTAATAAATTAATTTTGTACGTGAATCCATAATTTTTCATACTTGTTAACTAAAAAGAAAAATCACTTTTTCACAAATTTATTTGAGAAAAAACTCTACCAAACATGGACAATTGCAATTCAATAGAGGTGGAGTAGGTGAGGGTGTAATGGGAAGGATCTGGAAATGATGCATTTTCTTGCTCAAGATCACAACGCAATAGTTGGCATAAGGGTAGATGGTCCTACACCTTGATTTCAATTAGGTACACAGCCTTTCGTTTCTGTAAAGATTGAGATTGGACGATTTAAGTCATTTTGATGGTGTTCAATCATGGATTACATGGACCCAAAAGGGTCCCACCAATTTCTCTCCTCTTGTATCATTATGGCATTTTCTTGATTTCAGTTACCTGTTTATTGCAAGGTAGTCCTTTTCAACCGTAAAGGAATATTTGGCTTTTCATGTTTTTAAATACATACCATACCCTAAAGCATCCCTCAAAGCAAAGGCATGTCTTAAAAAAGTTTTCATTCATTGATATCCCCAAAATGTACAATTTGTTTAGTATCAGCATATTACAGAGAATATTTTTTAGAATGTTTTGTTCCTGTCTTTTTCACTTTTTGCTTAGTGGAGATTAATGCTTCACTTAATTATGAATGTTCTTACTTTCCGAGAAAGGGGTTCTCAATGGCGAACACCACATGATTTAAGGCTTGAAAGTTAAACCTAAGGTGAACAAACATATGAGAGACATCCTTAATCCAACTTACCAATCATACCATCAAAGAAAAACAACAAAGTAAAGATAATCAAAGCGCATGGATAATTAATCAAGTTCATTGCATTAATAGAATTTGCCCAAAAAAGTCCGTACAACCCTCACAACATAGAGAATTTCAAGAAATCTCTTAATGCAATGATCGAGTCACATCCAATCTTAAAATGAGAAAAAATGCGTCGAAGATTGGCCAAGATGCGTAACTCACTTCTTTCCACCCCCAGAGACGTTAAATTTGAAGAAAATTATGTCTCCGTCTTGGACAACATATGTCTTTCCTTCCTGTTTGTACTTTCCAGCAGCCTATTCAACAAAGCAAACAAGTTCATGTGTTCTTCAAATATGAAACCCGAATATGAAACAAAATATAAAGACCATTCAAGTGAAAGAAAAGATCAAGCCGCTGGAACTAGGACACATTCTAGCCTTTTATTCTGTTTGTCCCTTCTTGGTTTGAGTCTTATTTATGCATAAAAGCTAGTAGTAAGTACACATCCAAAAGTCGAGATCTTTTTAACTGAAACGTAAACTCAAGTCCAAACAACATATGACACTTTATTCCAATCTACTGGTTTGCCTAATCACAAAAACTACATATTTTTTCTGTGTAAAAGCAATCATCTCAAATAAATATAATCTCGGTCTTCAGATGAAGGAAAGAAACACCAGAAGCAGATACCCAATTGTCAAGAAAACCTTATCCGCATATAATAGAATCAAAAATGGCAATTACAGATTCACAGAGCGATGAGCATTTGTAATAAAGTCATTCAATTGATAATGTAATGAATATTTTGTAAATGAATGAAAAATTAGGAGAAATACCTTTACAGCTGCCTCACTGCCAAGCTCCTTTAAATCATCAAATTTCATGACCTAAAATGTGCATCAAAGAACCCAAATTGTTGACATTTAAATATCAGACAATAGTACAGGTTTGAAGGTGCAATTGTGTTTTAGCGCAACAGTTATAACGTTATCTTTAACTACCAAAAAACTATCCATACTACTATAATGAGCTTCTTAATCAAGGAGACAATATTTAGACAAACAACTTTATACAGGAACACGAGGGTTTTTCAACGTTGATTCCAACATTAATTGCAATTCATCAGCAATAAAAACCTGAGAGATGACACACCTAAATACGATAACATACCTAAAAACTACATGAAGAGTATAATGGTATCATAAATGGAAGGCTACTGTTAAATATAGTTTTAAAAAGACAAAATCATTATCGTAGAGGTGTGACTAAGGAAAGATAAAGAGTAGAATCTACTTCTACGAGTACGAAAAAAGGCTCGCACATGGAGATGGAGTTAGACAAACATTTTGATAGGATACCACTTGAAAGAACAAGTTCAAATGTTGTATAAATGACTTTTTGATTGAAAAAAAAGGAAGATTACAGAAATTGAAAGAATAATTCTAAGCATTCGAGAGGTTTAGATCTCTCCCCCTAACTCAACAACTAATTCTCAGCATGAATATCCCCAATCCCTCCCCCATTACATTTATAGGCAACTAATCTCACTATTATTCCCCAAAATACCCCAGCCCCTAATTGAATCTACTCTAACTGAATAAGCTTCTCAATTCTTCTAGGTCCTTCCACGTTGATAGGAGTCTATCACATTTATCAACACATATAAACACAGAATAATTAAGGCAGATATTTGCACCAAACTAATGCTGAATTGAAAAGAAAAGGACAAAACCAAAACAGATATATGAGGTCATGATAGTGATGCTTATATGGTAAAGTTTTCAGAAAAACCTCTGCACAAATGAACCCTCTTTCAAAATCAGTATGAATTGTCCCTGCAGCTTGAGGAGCTTTTGTCAGTCGACGAATTTGCCAGCACTTCACCTGCAAAAAACCAAATTCATTGTCACACAGCATAATAGAAGTACTAGTAACTGTCAATCGTACACTGGAACATATTATAAAATGGGAAGGAAACAATAAATAGAAAAGTAGAAATACAGTCCAGGTAGCTGAATTAACATTAAAAAAAAGTGCTTCTTGCAATACCAGAAAACACACTGCTTATAATACATGTAAGAACATGATACGTGGCAAACATCACAATCTAAAGAAAAGGACATAGCACAAAGCAAGGATAAGCAAAGCCTTCAACTTTTAGCCAAGCGACCCAGAATAGGTAACTAAAAGTAGTATTATAGTTAATTGTTTTTAGTAAACTTACAGGAGATTTGTACAAGCAAACAACAGCAATGGCAAGGCAAAACATTTATGTATGCAAAGTACCTACCTCATCTGGTCCTGCCGTGAAGAAGTATATGAGGTTAATGGCTGAGAATCCAGTCTTTATGATCTTTGGAAGGGCACTGCAGCAAAACAAATGTTTGTAAGCTGAGTTACTTCGAATTATGCAACGTCTTCACTAACACACTCTGAATCCACCTTTGTACTTTGTTCTCCTCGCAATATTTTGCAGCTTCATCTGGGGGCATGTCAGCAAGATTCCTCTCTAAAGCACAGCTGAAAGGGATTATTGTTTCGCCACCATGCTCCTGCACCCTAGAGAATTTGGAAAGAAATGGCTTGGGTGTTAAAAAACTTCCAATGGAGGGAGAATAAGATTGTGAGAGGAAAAGAAAAATTCTTGTGGGTTAAGAGTTTCCAACGTTTTCTACAGAAACAGAAATTAAATATCACAGTCCATTTTTTGAACCTTTGCAACGGAGAGTAATAATGGGGAAGAGGATATTAGGAGTGATAAATTCCATATAGATATCAAGTAATTGGATGAGTAGGAGAAATATTACAACGTAAACCTATTACAAAATTTCAAAAATAATCTATCTAAAACCATATACAGTGAGATCAGAGACGTATGTCTATATATTAGGCAACAATTTTCTACTCAGCCACACCAGCAATAATAGCTGGTAAGGAGCACCAAACTATGATAATTATAGGAGTAAGATGGCATGTACCAAGTATGAATCTTTGGAAGAAATTTGTTCTTTTTTCTTTGATAATCTTTCTCGTTCATATTAACCTGCACACAACCACACAAAAATCCATTAAAAAATACAACAGAGTATACACTTATAACAACAAGACATAAGGGCATAAAATTTCCTAAATTGATTTCAAACTTAGAATTGTACGAACAGCAGAATTTAAGGTCATGCGTGCAGTATGCTAGTGAGAATTTTCATCAAGACCAGACAGCTAATTCTGGATTACTTCATATTATTTTTTATCACTCGGGGATATAGCTCGGAGTGCATTCATAGTCAATCCTAATAAGAAAGGTCTTGAAAGGAATAATCGAACTGGCATCTTTCGCCATGTAATTATAGCCACTCACCAAGTAGACCACAGGTTTAGCAGTAAGCAACTGAAAAGTATTCAGGATCTCTATATCAGCAGCTTTCCAGTCCACCAGACGGAGGTCTTTTCCCTCCTCAAGCACTGATTTGACCTTGTGAATCCAATAATAACCAAGGTTCAATATCAAAGACTTATCTCATTTAGTGTAATGCATTTTCAGGCACAGCCTGCTAAGTATTTCTTAGCCATTTCAGAGTAATTAAGTTAAAGCATGCAAAAGAGGATACTTCTTAAAATCCAAACAGTATGAAGCAGACATTCATGTGAAACAAGGGACAGTAATTGAGAAAACAGATATTGAACCTTCATATTCTGAATGACTAGTAAAAGAAGGCAAAATGATCAAGTGTGACAGCAATGACCTCCCACAACTGAACTATGAATTTTTCTTTGACTGTCATCCCCACCCCCCAACCCCAACCCCAACCACAAATCTCAAGTTCCCACATCAGAAAAAGCATCCAAAGTTCACCAAAAGGACCACGCAATTTTATGATGTTCAAAAACAAATTTATTTAAATATTTTCCAAAACCAAATTACCCATCATTGACCTCCATGTGGAAGCAAGTACAGTATATTATATAGTATGAAGCATGATACGAATCATCTTATGACCAAACAGTTCAGTAACGTCTAAGCGAGGATGCATCAAAGCCATCTATGCCTCCATGGAGCAGCAAGTATCATATAGTATAAACTATAAAATGTGATAGAATTTATTCTTCACCATACAATCCTTTAACATCTAAGAGAGGATATATCAAGGCAATCGATTGCATTAATTTCATACATCTGTTATATTTGAAAGAGCTGAAGTAAAGGCAGAATCAGCAAAATAATTAGACCACACTATCTGGAAAAGTTAGTTATGCTCAAGGTTATATGTTGCATAAGTTCACACAACTACATAGCAGAAGTAGTTAATTATGCTCAAGAGCACATTTCTGCCATGGTGTCCACAAATTAGCAACATATAAATGAGAACCAACTCACTCTTAAACGAGTACATAAATTTGTTACTTGTAAATGTTTACAGTTGGTATCATTTTCTTTACATATAAAACAGAATTCCAGGAGCAGTCTCACTCCTGAGACTTCACCAGTGACAAACGAGTTACCGATTTTTCCCTGATTCAAAGGCATCAAATGGTTTTGTGTGTCAATGGTATCACAATTTGTACTCTAATGAAGAATAAAATTCCAAACATAAAGTTGAAGGCCACCGTGCTTTGACTTGAGGTAAAGTCAACATTTAAGAATGCATATATGCACTAATGTTTCATTAACACCTAGAACTATTACAGCCCAGAGAAAATTTGATCTTCTCTATTAATTAACTCACATTATTTTTATAGAGAAGATGAATAATAAAATTAATGAGTGAGAAAATTAATGCTGAGATAACATATGGAATACAAACCCTTAGACACAAATCGTGCTCTATTTTCAATTGCTTGTCATTGCTTCTCTTCATGCTCTTCTCAACATCCTCTATCTTCCTCCCAATGAATTCAATATCCTTGAGTCAAGAGGAATATCAAAACAATCAAAAACATCAAAACGAAGAGTTGCATACATTGAAAACTATTGAAGAGAACATCTTGAAAAAATATTCAAATCTTTGAGATTTTAGTTATTGGTTTGTTCGGGAGAGGACAGAAACATAGAAAGGCTTTACATAAATGCCGACTATTAAAAAAATAAAAAAATCAAATGTTGATGCTCAAATTTATCTCAGACTTACCTTAAGCCGCAATTCTGCAGATATAACCTCTAAATCCCTCACAGGATCCACAGAATCATCAACATGGATAATATCAGGATCTTCAAATGCACCTAAATGACATGAGAATGTAAGAGAATGAATTCCAGTGACACCAGACACGTGACAGAGAAAAATAGCAATAAAAATCATCACGGCTGTAACACTTCCTCGTGTAATCACTAGTTAAAACGAGGACTTTCAGAAAATTAATGTAGAAGATTTTGTTAAAAATCGTGAAAAGAAAAAAAAAACTCCCAGAGTACATGGATATAACTGTTCATAAACAAATTAAGGCGTCTACCAAAGATGGGGTTACATTTAACTTGTACGTGAACGGGTAAAAACAAAAGCAAGCATGAAGATGTAGAGGGCATCATTTTTGGGCTAGATGAAAGAACCACAAAACAGGTGACAACTGCTCCGTTAAAAAAAATAATAATAATAATAACAACACTATCATGAAATTGTACAAAGTCGCCCAGATAAATCTTGATCAAGAACATCTATTAAAGAAAAGAAAAATACAGGTACAACTGGCTTACGTAAAACATGAAAAATGCCATCAACTGCGCGGATGTGAGATAAAAAATTATTCCCCAATCCTTGTCCTTCATGAGCACCACGAACAAGTCCAGCTATATCATGAATTTCTAAGAAAGCTGACACCTATCCAACATAAAGGTAGAAAATAATTTATCAATCCAAAAGACTGAAATTTAATGCCAACAAACGTAGGAGATTGTAGAACAAGCTATCACAGAGATTTTCCAACATGAAGCAAGACAACGCGCAGTGTTTATCCTGTAGATAAAACACAAAGCAAAATTCTTTCAAGGAGCAATGAATCTTCAATTAAAGTCACTAACCTCGCTCTTTGGCTTGAACAGTTGACAAAGCCAATCAAATCGCTCGTCAGGAATATTAACTCGAGCCTCATTGGGCTCAATGGTACAAAAGGGGAAATTTTCAGCAGGTATGGATAACTTGGTAAGGGTGTTGAAAAGAGTTGATTTGCCAACATTAGGCAACCCAACCTGAACTCCAACAAAAATTAAAACAATTACCTAAAAAGAATATTAAGTTTCTCTCTCAGAAATATACAAACACAAAAAGAACGTCCCTTTTTTATTTATATACTTTAGAATGAAATCAATGAAAACGTTTACAGTCTAGAAATAGAAGAAATGAAAATCTACAAACCCGTTAAAAACTTAAAATTTAAATATAATTAAATACTGGTCCAATTTTATAAGAAAATAAAAGAAAAGCTAAAAACATGGTTTACTTCACTTTCATCAAAAATAATTTTCTTGGCCTCAATTATATTCATTTCACACAACGCCCAAAAACGAGATAATGTCTATGATAAAACTATTCAATAAATACAATATCTATATAAAGAGAGCACCATGAAATATGCAAAAATAATAATAATAATAATAATAATAATAATAATAATAATAATAATAATAATAATAAAAGTAATAACACTTACAATTCCAATTTTAAGGTGGGATGAAAACCGACCAAGAATCGGCCTTTCAGCTGGGGCTTCCTTTGATTTAGCTGCTTTCGGAGGCATTTTATGTTATCTTTTTTTTTTCTCTCTCTCTTTCCTGTTGTTAATTCTTGCTCAGAATCAAAATACAGAAAGAGAATTGCGCTGAGATAGTTCAGAACAGAGCAAGAAAACTGTGTTTTTAGGGTTTTATACGCAAATGCTCGTATGATACTAGGTTAGAATAGAGCTCGGCCCCTATTTTGCCCGTTCGATGGCTATGATCAAAATAATATTTTGAATAGTAATTTTTAAAAAAATATACGATTAAAAAGTAAAAAAAATTGAATTTAGTGTAGAATATTTTTATTTTGTGAATATGTTATTGATAACAAGTACATAGAAAAAAAAAAAAGCTTTTAAATAATGATTGCCAAACAAGAGCTTAGTTTTGGCCTGGTGATGGTTTCATCTCCAGATCTAGTGTGATGGATCCTTTCAAATTTTAGCCCTGTTTAATTTAACTATTTTAATAGAAGTCAACAAAATATATAATTAAGGGTACTTTTGATTACATTTATTTTTTTTGAAAAATATCAGTTTTCCATCCAAATTTCTACTTGGAGTGTTTGATTGCTATTTTTTTCCATGAAAAATATTTTCCAATTTTTGAAAATATGCCTAATTTTCCTTATTTTTAAAGAAAACATTTTCCTTGGGTAGAAGTGGTTTTTATTTTCCACAAAAGATGAAAAATATTTTCTTTTCTAAGTGATATTTTCCATGCCAATCAAAATATTTTCCATGCCAATCAAACACACTCTAAAATTTTGATAAACATTACAGATCCCATAAAAATTTGTGGCAAATAATGAATTTGAGGGGGAAAAAAATTAGAAAAAGAGATCCAATAAGGACTCAATTTTATTTGGATATTGTATATATGACTTGCATAAAAATGGACAAAATGTATACTTTTTTCTCTAATGCTAACAAGTATAGACTAATCAACCTTATCAAACAGACAAGACATCACCCGACTTGTCGTATGATTTTGCACAACCTTCTTCTCATTGCTTATAATTACTACTATTCAATATGATTGAGTACTTGTTTGGTTTAAATTTTAAGCCAATTAAAATAAATTTTTTGACTATTATTTCACTATTTCATTCTTTATTTTTGAATTCTTTTCTCACACACACTTAGTCTACCTTATCAGACAAACTATCAAGGCACGACGTATTACCCAGCCAAACTCATAATAACTCTAGAACATTGCGCCCTTCGCATTGATGAAGTTGTGGAACGTAAAAAGCTCATCGAGGCGCTAGGAAGAGTTAAAAAACATAGACAAATTTTGTCTCGTCACGAGCAACACACAATTTTTTAAAATAAAAATTGAAGAAATATGAACGATTGTATTATATATACATAATAGTTTACGTATACATGATATGATAAGATGTAATTGGGTCAATTTTTTCAACCAAATAAAGAAGAAAAACTCCCCCACTCACTTTGACACTTTATCCATATGTAAATCTTTATGTAACTCTATTGTATACAAGTAACACTATTCAAATATGAGACAGGATAGCAAACATGCAATGTATAAACCTATCATGTTCGTCAAGACAGAAAAGAACAAATATTAATGCAGAAACCAAGTATTTTCATCTGTTACACAGAAAGGAAGTAGATTTACTCATTCTACATGTATACATACATCGGAAAACAAGAAAAGATACAAAAAAATTTATTTAAAAAAAAAAAAAAAAAAAAAAAAAAAAAAGGGAAAGAAAGAAAAACTAATCTCCATTGATTATACTATCCCTTTGGCATTTGTTAGATCTGGGAATGTAAAAGTAAAAAATGCTCTAGTTTACAGCAGATGCTCGACTCCCCTCAGCAGCATTATCAGCATCGGAGGGCCCCCCTTCTGGTTCCAACTGCCAGTAGTTGGATGTACTTGGTTGTGTTACATGGAAAGAAATCTAGTACACAAATAAATCTACATCAAGGCAAGTAATTCGCACACCCACTTATAATTGGGCCACGTGCATAAAATACACCGAGGAGAAATTGACCGTGCAGCAAAAATTTACAATGATTGAGGACTACCTCAAAAATTTACAAGGATTGAGGACTACCTCACCAGAGTTCATCGATGTGTCTCTGTGGCTTCTCCATTTAATTCTCTTCGAACAAGCTTAAGGATCTCAATAATCTGCAACGAAGTAAATAAACCGCTGGTTAATTAGATACATCTCAACCTTCATGCAGAGAATACATGTGGGCCATACTTAACAAGCTAATGCAGGACAATAGTCTGAAAGCCGGGTTTGGCAGGGTAAATTATAAAAAAGAGGCTAAAATCTAGTCCATTGTATGTCAAGTCCTGCTTGGTACTACGAAACAAACATACCATGATAAGTTAGCTGAAACCCACCCACTCAGCGACCATCAAAGGGCCAAAGTGGGGAGAGCACTTAACATGGACGTAATTGACTCAAATTGAGTCAACATCTAAATCTAGTAGTAAGTAGATGTACTCGGAAAATATTATAAAACTTAGGATGATACAGGTCTCAGTTATTTTACATACGAATTGATAAGGTACCTCCAGAAAAATAAAATAGGTTTAAGAGCATTTGTACCATTAAGAATGTAGCATAACGAGATAACAGAATAGTAAAGGAATTTCCACAATCACCAAAAAATGGTAAGCGACAAGTATATTAAACGAAAATAATATATGAAAAAAATTTCATTTTCCTATATAACTCAAATTTATCTTACCCCAGGATAATGCTGTAAAACTGGCGAGTAATGATCGAGTGCAATGTATATCTTGTTGAGTAAACTTAAAAGAGCATCCACCTCATCCCCCAAAAGATCGACCTGAACTTCAAGGAAAATGTATAGTGATTAGGAGAGGGATTTTATAACAGTCAGATATATTAATTCAAATTTTTTATCATACAAAATTAGTTAGCTGAATACAAAGAAGAAATAGCCAGGGAAAATACATGTGATAAATTTCAAACACAATGATTATGTTACATCAACAAGTAGGTCATGGAACTAAAAAGGGGCAAAATGTATCAGTAGACACTAAGACAGAAAGATTTTTTTTTTTTTTTAATCTCCAATCATCTCCAGCAGAAGGTGTTCATAGTTATTAGCTATCCTGTCTTTCATTTGCATCGATAGGAAAAAGAGCAATTTTGGCTAAGCTTAAAAGTAAGTCAACTTAGTTTTAAGTGAATTCTTGTTTTCAAACATGTTCAGATATGTCACTCGTTTCTCGTAAAAAAGTTACTTATTTTGACAATAAGGTAGGAGATACTTTCAAATTAGTAACTTACTCATCGCCAAATTTGACTTTGAAAAAATATTATTTATGTTAAAACTTACTTATTTACTTGTAAGTAAAATTTTTAAGCTCTCAGCCATATATGCGCTAAACCTAGTATAAGATGCCTAGCTAATATATAACACAAAATTATACAGCCATTACCCACCACAACATGCACGCACAAAAGAAGAAAATTAATATCATCACAAATGATAATTTTTAAAACTAGTTAGTCAATTTCTCAAGCCTTACAGGTTCTGGCATTCCATATTTTAGGGAGAAAAAAAAAAAAGAGATCCAAATACAGCATATGCTAAGTGCCAAGAAGTACCTCAGCCTCGGCCATTTGAAGGTCCACAACATCTCCTCTCAAATCTCTGTTTGTAGGTTGGCCCTGTTCTTCTGAGTTCATTAGCTACTTCAGTAAGAGATTTCAAATCGGATTGTGCATCTTCCAACCTGAAAAATTCATGATTCGTGTTAGGATCCCCAAACTAATGAAGACATTAATCTCAACAACAGATACTTTTTCTTTTAGGCAAAGCATATTATTTATGTTGGGCAAGAGCTACTTTGTGTTTAAGTTGTATAGTAGTGTGTGTGTTTAATATATATAAACACAAAAATCTATCAGGAGATCTAAAGCGTGCATGCAATAAGCATAAATCCAACTATTTAAGACTAGATTGCCCACTAATAAGTAATAAAAGATATTATTTTGCCTTTGAAGCTGAACATAGCTGTAGCAATGCATGTCTCATAATTTTCAACATCATTCCTACAATAATTTGACAAAAGCACCAAAAGAACATCCCATTTTCATCAGGAAGTAAAAAGAGAAATAGACTAATAGAATAAAATAGCATAATGCATGTTAATATAACCATAAACTGAGTGAACATAATTCAAGCAGGACCTTGAGTTATTCTTCTTGCTGCTTCCTGATATTCTGCTTCCAAAATCATCAAGCATTTTTTTCATCAGGTCCATTTGCTTAATTAGTTCCTTCTCTTGAGTTTCATGTCTAACCTGGGCAAGATCAGCTTCCAATTTTCTTTTCTCGCTAGCTTCCTTCAACTCCCTCGTGCTCTGTTCAAGCTTTTGATTCAATATATTTATATTCACATTATCTACTTCAATTTGGTCCAATGCTTCTCTCAGCAGACCCTTTACTAACTCTAATTCCTTGCCACTCTCCATAACCAACATTTTCTGCCAACTTGCATGTTCTCTTAATTTATTTAGCTCTTGAGAAGCTAGCTTAAACTGTGCACTCTCTTTTGACAATGCCGCTGATAACTCCGATGCAAACTTCTTGTTCTCTTCTATTGATTCTTCCAGCACGAGAACCTCTTGCTTTAGTCTTTCCTTTTCTTCAATCTCCAACCTTAACTCATTTTCCTTCTCAAGAGATATGGAATCTAGAAAAATTCTCTTTTCATTCTCAATTAAATATTTCCGATACAGCTCATTGATTTTTCCCTCAGTGTCCCTGGTGGCTTCCCTAAATAAGAGTTCACATATTCCTTGCGTGATCAGTGATTCAATATCTGAATCTTCAATTTCAAATCCTCTTGCAGTTTCAGCAGGGACAGCCGCTCCACTGAGAAGTATATCATGAACTTCCCTCGTAATAAGAAACTGCATGTTGGTGTCTTCGGTGTCATGTCTCATCTGTCCTTCCAGTTCCTTCAAAACACATTTATAGACTTCTTCAGTAAGGGAAACTTCTACATGCATATCTTCCATTGCTGAATTAAGATTTCCCAGAAGCTTTAGCGTGTCTTTCTCAGCCGCAGAATGCTGCAAAATTATCCTTGCAGCATCAGAAACCTGTGATTCTAGACATTTTACTTCCTTTTTCTTATCAGTAAGTGCATCTCTGAGTTGACGATTTTCGCAGAGAAGGGTGTTGA